ATGGCCTATAGGAACCACAAGGAGACATTTTCAAGTCTTTTCTTTAACACATTAGGAATGTACAGTAAATATGCACTGTGAAGTACTATTCTAAAAACAAGATTTATTTACTGCATTACAAATGGAGCAGTACATGCAGCCAGCCAGGCGGTGCCCATGTCTTCCTTTTAAATGAGAAGCTACTTCCCAGAGCCCCTTTACTCTTGAGGCCACAGGAAGGGGAGGAGACCACTGTCTGCAGAGGCTCAGGCTCTCCAGAGTGGATGCCAGAAGGTGAGGGGAACGAGGTACAGCAGCGGGAGACCCCTGGGACTCACCGCTGGGACTCACCGAGGCGGGCACCCTGCTCTCTGGTGCACCCGCCCACGGTGGGGTCTTGGGGAGGGCTGGGCTGTGCAGACACAAGACATGTGTGTCCACAAAGCACAACGTGAGAGCCGAAGTTGGTGTAAATCTAGTTACTAGCATGAACTGAAGGCACCGTCGTTGTTTAACTCATCCGACCTTTTAAATGGGTAACCAACCTTGAGGCTTAATTGGATTTAAAAAAAAATCAATTTCTAGCCACTTCACAGTGTTGGAATGAAGCACTGCGTTCTCGGGCAATTGTCAAATCAGTTTTGCTCGAGACTGTTTTTTATTATTTACAACTTTAAACGGACACCATCCATCCTGGTAAGTGTTTTATGTACGCATCTACCTTTCATAAACAACCACAAACCCACAGGTACGTACATCCAGTCACGTCACCAAAGAATCATCCCTTTCTGTTCCGCACAGGCTGGGTCAGCAGCAGCAGTCTCTTCACACCAATCACACCAACCCCGAATGGGGATAATGACACACCACTGTTTGCAAATCTCTCGGAGCCTCAGCCTGGTCTCATCTTTGCGGTAAGAAAAAAAATCCCTTCAGGAAGCTTTTCCCCAAATCACATCTTGACCATTCCATCTTTCTTGAGGAAGGTCATTTCATTTTATGGAAAGAAATGAACAATTCACATGGTGTGAGCAGAAAGAGTACTGGAAATGAGAAGGCTGATGGCAACTCTGGCTCTAGCCCCGAGTGACACTTGCTGGGCGACCTTGGCACACAGCGGCACAGGCAGGTCTCAGTTTCACCGTCTGGAAAAGGGGGAGGTGTGCGTGGGGAGAGGCACTGTCTGTCCCTCATGGCTGATGGAAGCAGCGGTCTGTTATGGTGCCCTGGGTCGGAACAACCCATTTAACATTTTAACAAATGTTAAAAACAACATTTGATTCCCTTAGCACTTAGTCTGAGAAAAGAGACTGAATGATGCAAACCAGAGCCCTCTGCCTCCATTACCACATCAATAAAATGAAAAAAGTAGTGATTACTAATGGTGGAATTTGGATGATTAGCTAAAAGCAATTATAGAATTATAGTTGACAAACAGAAAATGCTAAACCCAGTCGTCTGTTTTAGCTGAGCCCAATTTAAATGTGCATTGCGCCGAATGAAGCTTCATCTAAATGGCCCATTTTAGCCAGATTATGGAGCTGGAGTGGAGAACCACACAGTTATTCTGAGCATTCAGGACAGTCCAGAGAGCTAATTTGGACAATTGGACAAATGATTATTTTCTTTTGCCTCAATTGACCAAATAATTGTGCACAAGCCTCTGCCATTTGGCTCTGTGGAATGTCTCTTTGTACCGGCCACAGACTGGTACAATGACATCTGTCTGAGGGTGGCATGGAGTTGGGGACGTAATGCACACAGCTGGCGTCCACTACCGAACCTGAGTCCTAAATCGGAGACACTTTTACAAGAACCCACAGTCTCTCCACCATCCAGGGCCCACGTCAGCTTGTGTGGTGCCCATCAGCTAGAAGGGGGCTGCTTTCCATCAGTTTCAAAACAGCTGAACTCAAACTTCAGGCATAAAGTTAAAGGTGGCACCTGGGCAGTCGAGAAACTTTAGGGAGAAAGCCAGGCGATCTGCAGGGCCAGCGCACATGTAACTCTAGGAACGCATTCAAATACGTCACAGCACCAACCTGTACGGTGTGGGTGACATCAAACGGGTCAGGTCTGCCCTCCTAAATCCTAGAAGTGGAAACTCAACCATTTTTAATCAGGAACCCACCACACTGAGAAGCCCAAATTCTTAGCGCTGTGCTGTCTTCCTTACAGCTGACTAATCATCCTCCACACCTACGAAAAGTTCTGTGTGGCTTTCAGGACTGGACTAGAACAGGGACCCCAATGACCAAAGCCAAGGCAGCGTATGGGGCGGCACACTGCCCTGTCACGTTTGGAGGCATGGCGTGCTGGACCAGGCAAGCGTTTTGCTGCGGGTGCACAGTGATAGATGGGGAAGACTGCTTTATGGGTTATGGTCTGACTCCTCACACAGTATCTGCTGCACAGAGCAGAGAAAACCGCCCTCTATCGTGTTTTCTAGCAGTTAAGGTAAACACCGACAGGCAACACGGTGGTCTACCATCCCTGTGCCACAGCCTAGGTCTTCAGAGCTCTCTGCTCAACAGCAAGGCTCTGGATTTTATCTGCACACTGCAGCACCATTTCAAAACTGGGCCACCAAAGTCTCCACTGGGAACATAACCAAAGAGGTTTCCACTCAAGAAGCTCTATGTCCACGGGTGTGGGGCCGCGTCCCTGCAGCCCATCGGGACGGATGACCTCTTTAATATCCTGGCTGTTCTTGAACCCCGTGACAGATACCTGCTGAGATGGCTGATGAGCGTGTTGGGGGGAAATGTAATTTCTAGCCAAAGAAAAAGGCAAGGGCACAATAGGAAGAGGCTGTTTCTTCTGCGTGGTTTGTCAACAGGCTCTGAAGGTAATTGCCATGAGCAACGGCAGCATCTCAGGACTAAATGCCCGGCTCGCCAAGGACACTACCCAGAACGACAACTCGCATGCAGACGCCAGTGTCTAACTGGAGAAGCGCACGCCCGCCACAGTCCACGGCCACGTCTCCCACCAGGCGCGCACACGTGTCAAGGTCAGGACGCTGGGACAAAGACCGTCCCGAACCCTCAGGACCCTGGAAACAGTTCTGGCTTTGGGCTCAACGAACACTGTCCCTGCAATTTTTAGTGTAACAAAATGGGGGTGCTCAGTCTGGTGGAAAGTCAAGGGTCCTGGGGTGAGAATGTGAGGATGACTCCAGGCACGGTACAATTGGACTTCAAGACTCCTACACGCTCCTTGGCATGTATAGAAAGTATATGTTTCTGTAAGGAAAATAACTCTCAGGCAGCTTTCCTGTCTGTATTTGGAGAGCAGACAGATCATCCCATTGGGGGGTGCATTAGACAGATGAATGTGCTTGCACACCCTGAGGCAAAGGCCTCAGGCACACAATACACAGTCCTTGGCCAAAAACAGCACAGAATCGTCAGGCTCTCCCCTACCACAAACGCATATGAAGAAAACAGGGACCCATCGTTAAAATTAATACCAGGATCTCAGGATGTTCTTTAATCTGCATGATTGCTTTATTGTACAAAAAGTTTCCAGTAGCAGTAAATTAATTTTTTAAAAAGGACAAAAAAAAAGTCATTTTGGATAGAAGCGCTTCACTAATTGCTTTATTTAAGCATACAAGAAAAAAAGTCTTATCTGACCAATTACGTTGAAGGGCTTTATTACCTTTAAGAAGCCATTAGCTGGGATAAAACACTGCAAGCACTTGTGTCAAAACAAATAAATAATGCTCTCTCAATTAGCAGAGAGAGCAGTAAATCCGTTAAATTAGAGATGCACACGGCTTCACACGACATGGCCCAGCCAGCACCCCCCCAAAGGAACAAATGACAGACAGCAGTTTTCAGTTACAATCTTGAGAAAGATCAGGAGCTTTGCAAACCCGGCATTAAAATTTCTGCTTTTTCTCCCAGCTCCACTCAACAAAAGCCAGCCAAGATTCTTGGAAAGGAACGGGGCCCGGGCTGGACCCAGGCGCCCAGGGCAACCTCTCAGGTGCCACAGGGCCTCTTCCCGGAGGGTGCTTCCCAGGCCAGCGGAGTCTGGCCTGGATGACTATCACCTCTGTGGCCCAGCAGGGACCAAAGGGAACAACTATGGGCAGGTCAAGGAATCCATCTCCTTCACAGGGAAAGAGTTGCCCTGAGGTACCAGGACATGATTATCAATTTTCCTTACTTTCTCATATGCTGCTGATCTTTCCCCAAGTACAGGCTCAAAAGAAAAATACAGTGGTTTAAGGACCCCAGTACGTCAGGCATGGGCTCTAGGGCCAGCTCCAGGCTGGCCCGCACATCTCCCATCCCGGGACACCACTCACTCTGTAGCAGACAGCTGGGGCTTTGCAGCACTGTACCAGCTTGAGACTGAAGAAGACAGCGCCTCCACTCTCACAGGAGAGTCTCAAACAATTGCTAATCAGATCCATCATGTTATCCAAAAGGGTTGTGGGGGAGGTGACCCAAATTACTCCATTTTGGGGAAATAAATATAAATATAAATGGTGATCCTTTCTTAAAGGGTCAGTCTCTTTCAAGGGTTGGCAGGAGTCAGCATTTTCAGAGCTTTTAACAATTATCCAGCAAGGTCCCCATGGATTATTTATCAGGCAAGTCCCCTAATTCAAAAGTCCGACTGCAGGGAGCAGCTGGTTTGCGCCTGCACACCCCACTGGGGGGGAGGCAGCTTTAACTGCAGGCCTAGAGTCCATCCTGGACTCCAGAGGGGAACAAGGAGGAAATGACTCATCGGTTCTTCTTTCCTACCCAGTGCCCACCAGGGAATGCCAGGCACACCTCTGGATTCTCACTGTTCTCCAGCCTGCAACAGCGAGAAAACAGGAGGCTGCCCGGAAGGAGAAACAGGTAGGAAGCCTGGGCAGGGCGTGGGCATGAGAACACGGTCTGTTCAGATGACCTGAGTGTAAATTTCTGGTAGCCACTTCAAAAGTAGTTCTTGAAGAAGCAATTTATGTGACTGGTCTAAATAAAATGTAACACATTTAATGGGGTCGTGCTCTTCTTAAATTTTTTAAGAGAAGCAGAAACAATGAAAAAGCCATCCAAAATTACACAAAAGCCACTAAAATTATACTGGTATCAATTTAAACAGGGCAAATACAACATGAACGACTTCAGTTTTCAAAGCTATCATCACTCCCCACATGACAGCCCCAAGAGATACTCCAGCACCATAATAGTGGTAACAGTGGGGCAAACGACGAAGTCCTGCCTTGGTGATCTGATCCACGCTCACACAAGCGAAGGATTTCCTAATCAAGATTGTCACAATCCTCAGAAGTGTGTCTACTTTCTGGGCTCTGTTCAGTGGCAATGGAAGAACCAATAAATCAAATCACTGGTGGAATATTTTACTTTGAAATGGAGTGATGTTTGGTTAATAATTTGAGATCTACTAACCCTAAATGGAGTGACCCATTGAAAACGGCCTCTGTGTCAATTCACAGTTCATTAAACAAAACTGGTTTGAACAGGTCGTTATGCAGTTAGTATGTGATTAACGGATGGAGTGGGGATGGCCGAGGACAACCAGAGACACACACGTGCTCAGGCTGGTGACTTTCACGACCCCGACCAGCTTCCTTGTAATGTGAGCTTGGTTCAAATCACCAACTTTTCCATTTACATGGTTTTGCTTGGTAACCCCTTTTGGTATACAGTAGAAAATCCAGTGCAAAAATTTTAAACGAGGAATACTCCATTTACAATTAATTTAAACTTATGAAGCTATTTTAACTGGCCCATCTATATGTGTTAATTAACATAGATGATGGTTTCTTATTTTTCAGACTTTGCTACTCTGTTAACCGTGATGGAAAAGCTAAATTAAGTTAATGGGGAACGGATTATAAATTCTTAAAGGACTTCTTAGTTTGTTTTCAACTGGAAAATACATAGAGAAAGATGAAGAGGCATTTTTGCCTCTACTCATAAATTTTTGGTACCAAATTTCTTAAAAACCAAATGGTTTAAAAAAATTTTTCCAAAAATTATTTTAACATGCTGCTCAGACATAACTGCTAAAAAAATAGCATATACACATAGAACACTGAACAGCTTCAGCAGTGCATGTAAACTTTCAACTCATTTTCACTTTCTAAAAAATATATATATTATAACTGATCACAGAACCAATCTCGATTATGCAACAGCATCAAAGGTCCTTAAAGACTCAACAGTGATGGAAAACAAAAGCAAAGGCCCTTCCCCTCACTTGAGCACGACAGAAAAGAGGAATCTATGGGGCTCCGCTGCCCAGTGCCCACAGAGCCCGCCGGCCGCACCTCTGCGCAGCTGCTGGGTGTGCACTGGGCCCCGACACCGGCAAATCCACGAGGTGGCAACGCACGAAGCCAAGGTCACTAGCGAGACTTCACGCCGACGAGGACAACAATGAGGACAATGACGATGACAAATAATATTAAAATCACAAGCATCTTCCGATTCTTCTTTTGGTACTGTTCTGCCTAGAGAGAGGAGGAAAAAAGGCAGTCATTTTCCCCAAGAATCCCAAGCCGACTCCCTGTTTTCCTGCGAAAGGCTCTGGCTCTTCTGCACAGTGAATGGTGTCTCCACTGCAGGCCAGGCAGCTGAGGGCCGAGCTGCGTGACGCTAGCGCTACCATCTACCTGGACTCGGGGAAACACCAGCTTACAGTCATCCACTGCTAGGACGGACAAGGGCTGGCGGAGATACCACACACCCTGCCTGTCCGTCTGTCAGCCTCTTCTTGCCACTCCAGCTTCCCTGGCTGTCAGACCCCCACGCATGCAGACGCGCATGCCTCCAGCCCCGCGAAAGGAGACAGCTGGTTGCAGGTACCACAGAGGCCCAGGTGCTACACCTCCCTGAGCTCCATCGAAAACAAAAAGCTCATCCTTTGAACTAGAAGTGAGGAAGTGAGCACCACGGATGTGCGGACGAGAGTCCAGCCGAGGTGCATCCTCCCTGAGCTAACATGACAAGATGGTGGTGTTCCCTGAAGCTCAACCTGGAGTCGAGGCCTACCCGCCATACCCCTTCCCTAAATATCACGCTGGAGTGCCAGCTACTCCACCCGACCCGCTTGGGATGCAGAAGCACCAACATGCCCGGGGTTGCTGGTAATAGACACAGACCCCTGAGCAAGGACACCGGAAAGGAGGAGAGCGCGAGGGGACCCAAGCCCAGGGGCAGAGCATGCCCACCCTCTCCAGACACTGCCAGGAACGCCGAGGAGGAGAGCAGGTAAGAGTATCAGTCCCTCCCGTCCCACCTCCGTGGGCGCTAACCTCCTGCCTGGAGGAGCCCAGCCTCAAGTAGGAGGAAACAAGCCCAAGAAGGAGACCTCAGGAGGACAGCCAGTGGGAGCGACTCCCCAAGCTCAAGCATCTTCCCTCAGAGGAGCCCATCACCCTGGACGACCAGCCGCCAAAGTCAGCGTGGGCCTGAGAAGATGGAGAACACCTTCCTCTCTAATAGAGCACTGGGCACCAGGGAAGCCACCCAGATAACACGCTCAGAAACCTCTCGCAATGACTTATAAAGTACTACCTACAACAGAGTTTGTCCTTCCCACTAGATCTGTTCACTTCTGCAGAGAAGGCTTCCCCCTTTGTCTGTGCTACAACAGAACACATCTCACTAAGTTTTTATTTAAGAAACTTTAAAACACGTGCATAATTCAGCAGCATATCAAAGCCTGGGTATTACAGAGTGAGAAACTAAAGTTAGTTTCCATTTTTAATAAACAGAGCTTGGTAACCAAGTTAATCTAAATGCATAAAAGAGCCTCCGCATATCTAAGGCCAGACTTCTCCTCCATTATGCGCTGCTCTCATTTCTCCTCCCACCAGGCAACAGCACACTGAAGACAGCTAAGGACTTCCGGTTAGACTGTGCAAGGCTGGGCTCTGAAAACCCGACACTGCTGTTAGGGGCAATCTCTGCTATCGGAAGTGGCTGGTTTCAGAAGAATAATAGCATAATATGCTAGGGAACTGGAAAGGTGTTTATTATTTGGCTAGAAATACCACCGAGTCTCAGTGACACAGGAAATAAATAGAATTTATTTTATCTGTGAAGCATTATTATATTCCTTTTAAAGAAAATATGCACCCAATTATACACCAGCACACAGCAGTCTGTATGTGTTTCTCATAACCGATGATGAGGTTTTTAAGATGTTTTCCACTGTTTTTTTTTTTTTAAGAAGGAAATTAACAAGTGATACGAAAACAACCTGGAATAGGCACCTCGTTACCAAAGAATGAGAGGCCCACCACTTCATTTCCACAAACTTCTCTTTTCTCAAGGTAACACACAGATGCGCTGTGGTAATTAAAGGCAAATTAGATTTTTGTCATCTCCAGAGTGACTCTACCAGCGATTCATCAGAAGCGCATCACAACAAGCAAAGTCTGAGTCACCATCAAGAAACACACAGATCTCTCGACTCATATTTTAGCAAATACCCATTTAGTTGATTCCCCCAACCAAGAAGTCTGAGAAAGGGTGAAAGGAGGAAAACCCCAGTCCTTTTAGAATTCACTGTCACAGAATGGAGTTCTCGGCAACATCTGATCTCAGGAGCAAGGCACACGTGCAAAGGTAAAGTGCGGTAAAATGGCAACAAACCACACACTCAGTCTCAAATGAGACGACAGTGTACATTTTACACAACTGCACTAGTAGCCAACCGTAAAGACAAATGCTCAAGAGTTATGCCGGAGCAGAATCCTCTTATGAATTCTTGAGATTTGATAACAGTCCCTAAAATTCTCAGCCAGTGAAAGATGTCATTACCTTGTGAAGCTGTTTCAAGCCATCTTCGGTTTTGATACAGGACTGTTCGACATTATAGTCAATTCTATCAAGGACCGTACCCTGAGTGATAAATGACAGTTACAAGTGATCAACAACTGCAACGAGGGAAATTGAGCTTCCAACACGAGACGTGCAAATTATAGACATCAGCTCCCCTAAGATGGCGTTTTACCCAATGTGTGATGAAGGTGCACAGTGGAAACTCTGAGATCCACCCCCAAGCAGTGTGAGGTGCTTGGCGGCAAAGCGCTAGGTTAGGTGCAATAACGTCTAGTTCATGAGAAAGGAATTCTGACAAAGCGAGGGTCCTTTCCTGGGTTCAGCCACTACAGGATATGCCATATTCAGACCTACTGGGGCTTCAAAAAGTGTACGGCTCAGTGGACATAGGCTCTGCCCAGTAAAGGGCCAGCTTGGATGTCCACTTGCTGCTTAAAAGTGGGATTCAAGTATGCAGAGAATGCCAGGCAAGCTCAGCCTGGTAATCAGGCTGCAAACTGCCTGTCACATCGCTAAGCCTGATGGTGCTTCTCCATGGGGCATAGTAGGGCGTGTCCAATCCACCATCCAGAATTAAAACTCTGGCCCTCAAAGGGAATTTTTAAAAAACTGCTTAATCTCTTGGTTCTTACAGGAAGAAGGGGCCACTGAGCTGCATGTGAGGATAGGGCTCTTAGTGGAAACATGCTGGATCAGGAGAGACAGCAGCTCACAGGGAGACACAGGAGTAATTAATGTAACTGGATCTTGCGTAGCCTGAACACTCCATTCTGCAGTTGGTTTCTCGGGGATCAGGACCCAAATCCCTGCTGGCAAGATAATAAAATGCCCTAATCAGATTTTAACAGTGAACAACAATTTAATTCTACTTGAAAGCTAGTGGTTCCAATGGCCATTACACAATAACCTGCCAAAATTAGAAAGGAAATCTTATCTATTGCCAGAATCAGTGCTGGGCTCAGTCAGAATCAAGCCAGCCTCCACAGCAGGGGGCTCACACGAGGACCTTGGGGCAGGGGCACAGAATTAGAACTTATGTTCCTTTCTGGGTTTACTCATAGTCTCATAGGGAATGACAGAAGTCCAGACCATTGGTAACATAGGGGTACTTCGTACATATCTGTATGTGCACACATGTACACACATGTAACACACACGTACACACACACACACACACACACACACACAAGTTCAAGGTTTTTCCTGACAAATACAGAATTGAAGGATTTGGGAGAAAGAACAGGTTCCACAGTAGAACACACAGATGGGAAGGACAACCCCATACCTGCTCTACAATCATGGCTCCTAAGTCCCTAAAGATCTCATTCAGGTCGGAAATGGACTGCACAATCTGGCGGATCTCACGCTCCCTCTCCTCCACCATCAGTGTATTCTGCTCCACCAACACCAGCTGGTCATCCGTAAAACCCTAGCAAAACAACAGTGCAAAATACCCCCCTTAGGAAACTTACACTATACCACTTTGGGTATAATTTAAAGAAAATGAACTTATGAAAAATATATCTGTAAACACATGACAATAAAGCATTTATGTTTCCCTAATAGGAAAGATCCAAATTCCCCAAAGCACCGGGATCTACGGCTCCGTGGCCATAGCCAGGGACACTACAGAAGCCCAGCCCGCAGCCATACAAGGGCTCTGGGGCGGCCCTGTGCTGCTCTGTGTTCTTCTGAGAAAGCGGTAAATGCCGCCTTCCTGCAGGCTCTGGAAAGCAGGCCACAAGGTCTCCTGTGGGCTTTTGGAAAGGAAGAAACAGTATGGCTGTTCTTCTGCCTGTTGCAAAGATCACTCAATGGGTGCACAAGTCCAACAGTGCCGCTCCATTACATTGCACAGGGTTGGCGGTCTAGAAACAGGAAGGGACAGGATGGAGGGCACACGTACAGCAGCCATTCCTCGGCCCCTCACGTACCCGATCATACAGAGCATTATCGTCTCCATCGTCCATTAGTGGTACTGATGTATCAAAAAAATGCTGGGATCTTTCCTCTCGGTTCTTCATGCCTATCACAGACAGGAATCCACTTTACTTGAATATGTAAACCGTCCTGGTTACCGTTCCACCATGAAAAAGCGGAAATCTAGAGTAAAGCTCAGCAGTCAAAGTGGAGATCACCTTACAGCTGTAAAGAAGCCCATCTCCAGCGGGGGAGGGGACAATAAAGCATTAAAATACACAACATGCAAGTGCTGGGGTTCTAGACAAAGTTACCATCTAAATGTGCAAAATTCACAAAACAACAGGATCATCTGAGAATCTCTAAGGGAGAACAGAAGTATTTACTCTAACTGCTGTTACAAAACATGAACAACAGCAACATCAGTATTTCTCTCTGGGAGCATCTCTAGTAAAAACTCCAAATGAGCCTAATCAGATTTCAGAAAAATACGATTAAAATACAAATTCGCCCCTTGTCAGCACGGGGGAGATGCGGGGGATCATGAGACTTCACTGATTCCAATGGCAACAAAGTCAGCCCACGACTACAGGGGAAGCAGAATGAGCACAGAACGGTGGGCTCCAAACTACTTGGAAGAAAAAGTGTGTTCAGTAAACGGGGACAAGGGCAGGAGTGTTTATAAACCACTCCCGGGAAGTTTTCTCAGGCACTCTTAAAGATACTTTAGCTGTCCTGCAAACGTGTGGCTGTGTGGCTTTAAGCCGTGGTAACTCCCTATTTACTAGCAGCTCCCTAAACTCAACATCTAGAAAACAATAGTTTTTAAAATGTGCTCAGTTCCTTTTCAAATTTAGATCTGAACTACTGGGCAGGGCCCAGGAGAAGAGGGACCTCCTGTCAAAAAGGAGGGTGTGTGCTCAAAGGCTGGGGCAACATTGACCAAAGGGAAGCAGAAACGCAACAAACCAAAAGAGGTTCTTCCCGACTCATAACCCCTTCAGCAGGACTGCGCGGCACTCACGTTTGAGGTAGCCGGACTGTGCGTGCCGGAAGCTGGTGGACAGCTCCTGCAGAGTCTGTGCCAGGGAGGCCACCACGTTGCGCAGCAGCCGTTCCTCTCGCTCTGAGCAGGCCCTCCGGGCTCTGCCGGGCAGGGCCTGCACTGCGCGCTGACACCTGTGGAAAAGCTGGGAGCACAGGGCCGAGCTCAGGGCCAGCAGGGAACAGAGGGGCGCCACCCTCACTCGCCCAAGAGCAGGAGAGAGGGGATGCCCGTGGGTCAGCCCAGTGGGGAAGGGAAAAGAAGCGAATAAAGTAACCGGGGCTTCCTGTACACACGCAGGGACTCGCTGCGCTGGGCCCCCCACGCCGCATCACCCCCTGGGGCGAGCTCACTGGGAGGCAGGTCCTAGTTTATTTCATCCCCATTTTACAGAGGGGTAAAATGAGAAACGTGGCCCTGTGCAGCGCTAAGAACCAGGGATCACACATTCAGATGTTCTTCCTGACATCAGCACCCTGGAGACCTAAGCAAGCACCACAACATAGCAAAGCAATAAGTCATACCTCCGGCCCCATGGTAAGCTTCTCTTATTATGAGAACTGTATTTTAGTATAAAATTTTTACACACTGGCATTTAATAGAGGTGATACGGTTTTAAATCAAATGATTGAGTTGAGGAGTATTCTGAGTTTTGTTTAAGCAACCCACAGTAGCATCTGCCAACAAGCCAACTACTGATGAATGTGTCCCCACCTCCGAGACACCCCCCACACACATGCGGGGACTCTGGGTGAGCCTCACAGCCTCCAGCGTCCCTTTGAGAACTTCCATCCAGAAGCTGTCTGCCAGGTGCTTTAGAATGGCAGCCTCGAGGGCATCCAGGGTGGACAGGCCTGCGTACTCACCTGTGTGATCTCCTGGGTGGTTATTTCAATGGCGTGCTCCTCCTCACTGCTGTCATCCAGGGTGGGTCTGTTTAAATGCTTGTCGTGAAGGCTGGCTAATTCCTTCATCTTCTGCTTAATCCGGCCAACATCATATTGGATCTAAACAAATAAAGTCACCAGAACTCCACTGACGCCTGGCAGGTATCTGTCTGCCTCAGAGACAATTAGCTACACTCAGAATACCGGGCTGGGTCTACAGGGAACCTGCTGGCTTACTGATGTGTGAGCCAATTTTAATTTAAATTATCAGAAAAAATTTTTTAAATCTCGTTTAATTTCTACACTTCAAGTAGTTATTACCAATGTCAAAACTAAAGCCAAAATCATTAACATACACAAAACCTTTTCTTATGTTATATAAAATGAATAAACCCAAAGGTTAGGTATTTCTAGAGATATACCCTCCAGCCAAATTAGTTTATATTGCAGAAATGTTAAAATATGTTACCATTATCGCATAAAAACAGAACTGTGAAACTAACACTCCACTTACTTACTTCATCCACTCCGTCCACCCACTTCGGAGGTGACCGTTTTGTTACGCCGATGGCGGCTTCTGGATCTAAACTAATGCCCGACACCAGAGCCATACGGTCGTCGGCAAGCTACAGAAAAATACGTGAATATTAAAAGGGTTATTTGGATTCAGTGTAGAAAAAGATACTCTTACTCCCTTTTAACTGTTATTCCCTACAAGGATATAGGATGCAAGAATAAAGGCATCTCCTTTTCACACGGCTAGGATTTGGATTGTTTTTCTATCTCTTCATGCACCGCTTAATTTCCTTGGACATGCTTGAGAGCACGGATCTGACTTCATCTGGCTACAGAAGTGTAATGAAAAAGTCAGCAAAAGATGCTTAAGAACTAGAACTGTGACAGAGGCATGGACCTCAGCAATTAACGTGATGAGATACAAGTAAAAAGAAATAACTAGGCTACAAATGGAACTAATATAAAATGTTTGATAGTAGCAAGGTTTACTGACATTTGCCTGACTAGTTTTAGAAAGAATGCTGATCCAGTTACCTTGGTCCCAAGATCACCGGCCCCATGTTAACCTGCACTGCCTGAACCAGTGGACAAAGTCCCCCGAGGCAAGAACAACCCTTAAAATCTCCCTGCAACCCCAGGCCATCCTTCCTCCCTTCCCTCACTTGGCTAGCCACCAGCAACAGCATCCCTTGCTTTAAAATGATACTGAAAGTTCTTGGGTTTTGCCCCCTTAACTATATAACATACTGCCTTAGTAAGCTTCCAAAAGAGGAGGGAATCACAGGTTTACAGGGTTTCTTTTTGCCTGGAGGCATATGAATGGGCTGGCAGCACCCTGAGGCGGCCTCGGGAACACAAGAAGATTTTTTCTTTTTCCTTTTTAGTGCTGGGGATTGGACTCAAGGCCTTAACATTGAGCTATAGCCCCAGCCCTTGTTTTGTTTTGCCAACTTTCTAAGTTGCCCAGGCTGGCCTTGAACTTGTGCTCCTCCTGCCTCAGCTCCCCATAGTACTAGAATTACAGGTGTGAGCCACCAAGCCTGGTTCCAGAGCTCAGGATTTTTAAATGGGAGTTTCAAAGGATCTGAGTGATAATCAAAATATAATGGTAAGCAGTCTATAAAAGTTCTTTACAGATAATACTTTGTAAACATTCTGTAAAACTGGGTGAGAAATTTGTACTGCTTTTCTTCTTCCTGCAACAACATAAATTTATTTTTTTATTAATTTGGTGATACTTGCTTACCAAACAAAAGAGCAGGCAAAAATTTAAAAGCCACAGCTGAAGGGGGAAAAAATACCACATAAGCCTCTATCTGCTCTCAGTGCCCTGTGTGCCAGGAAGCCCAGTCCACTCAGGGGCGCACCTGGCACATGACCACTGCTGGGCACCTGGGAGCTGGGCTTAAGACCATCAGCGTTGGCCACCAGGACCCAGTGTCATTTCTGTCCTTAAAGAACTGACGAAACCTGCGCTGCTTGCAGCTCTGCACCTGAAGTGGGACCTTTCGCCCTCCGTCCCCACCTTTGTTTGTTTTTAAGTAAGAGTTCACTAATAGGGCTTTTAAATTCTTTTTATTACCTCAATCCACACAAAAACTAGGTGAGCTAGAAGTTACTGTTCCACTACACAAGTACAGAAGCTGAGACCCTGAGAAGGGTGAGCAGCTTGCCCAAGGCCGCTAAGCTCTCAGGTGACAGGTGAAAGCCTGCGTCAGGGCGCTCCAGGCGCCCCTTCCACACGCGGCTGCCAATCACTCCGGGAGGCCCATGAAATAGAACTGCAATTTGCTAAGAAAATGAATCAAGACAAACCATCAGATTAGAACAACAAAACCCAGTACTCTGATTAACTCCCCACCAACCGAACAGGGGCCGTGGGACAGGCCCCCAATGAGCACGCAAGCGTCAACAGCTGAGGTTATGTGCTGGCCACGTGCGCGGCAGGTGGGGGGTGGGGGACCGCCTCCAGGCAATTAGAGGCAGAGCTCTTTATTCCTCCACAGCCCTGCTCCGAAGCCACCAGGTGGTACCCAGTTCTGTGAAGGACACGCTGACCAGCGCGGAGGAGAAGCCAGCTACGGTGCTACTGCTGTGCTGGAGCTGGAACTCCAGCTGTTTACACAAAGCAAAAGTTGAAACTGCCTAGTTACCTTCTGATGAATCATAGAACTTCCACAATGCCAGTTCATTATCTAAGCCACCATGTTCCATTATACTGTATTTCAGTAGAATGACTTGTTTTATTTATAGTGACTTTATTTCTAAGTTCATGAACAAAATAAGTTGTACTGTTTTTTTGCTGTTACAAAAACACATTAAACTAAAAAGGATACACAAGTGATACAGCTCTATCTAAATTTACCTACACTGCAACTAGCATCATCTTATCTAAAGCAAAGAAAAAAACCAAATAAATCCATAAACTATATAGGAAGAGCCAACTGAGCTGGATTCAACCCTTTCAAATAGTCCTTGATTTTTATCCAAGAGATATGTCCCCCAAACCAGATATAAATCTAAGCCGGGAGAAAGCATCCTTCTAGGGGTCCTAAGGAGGCCACTATGAGGGGACCCTCAGGAATGGTCAGCTGCCGCCCCACCAGCTGGCTGAGCTTTCACACATTGCCCTAGGCTTTGCCGCTGTGAGAGAACCGCTGATTCTTAGGACTGCAAACTTTAAACCGCAAGCCATGTGTCCCCTTTATGATAGAACTGTAGCCATAGCTCATCGTGCTGGAAGTGCTGCTCTACTGAGGAGAAATGCCATTCTCTCGCTGATAGTGATTTATAAGGAGAATCAGCATGTATTCCTTAAAAAGGCAGCGTGTTTTACGAAGGGAAAACAGTGGAAGCAAATATGAACACAACAATACATTTTAAATGCAAAATAATCACCCTTTTCCCTTCCAGAACCCCACTTCGCACTTAAAAACATGTTTTCTTATTTGCTAAGGGTCCAGCACACGTGTAAACTTTCAAGTTGCCATCCTATTCCATACAGACCTTAAAAAACTGCCAGATTTATGATTTTCTTCCCTCATGTCAACTCAATCCCCTCTCTAAAAATATATTGACTATTCACTTTTTCTTAAACAAATATACTTTTGAAGGTTAAAAAAAATCTTCCCCAATCTTTTAAATAAGAAAAAACTGTTATAAAAGCTATCCTTGGCAGAATAAAAAAGCTGAAGATTTCTGGTGGCTTTGACTTGTGGCTTGATCTTCCGAGATAACCTAGTCACCTTCCTGTGGGAAAGGCAGAACAAACCACGCCAAAGGCTTTCCTGCTGGTCTCACTAAAATGGATGTTGGCTCTGATTCCTTTCGGATGTGGACATCTGTCCCTTCAAGAGCGCCACAGGACAGACGTCTGAGACCTTGCTCTGTGGAAGAAACGTACATACGACACCCCCTCTCCTACTTATCTGGCTGCTCCTAATGTACAGCCTTCCTGCTCTTACAAAACCTTGCCTTACGTGGAAGCTAATTTAGTTGCTGTAAGATCTGGAAACCATCAGCGCCTCCGTAGAGACTGGAGAGTCAGGAATGCTTCCTCCCCATCTGAAAAGCTCGGCCACTTCCACCACATGCACTGGAATGAGGACAATACGATCACTTTTACATTTAAGAAGCCCTGCAAGGACCTTGAAAACTTCAGGGCAGTGACCTTCGCTTCTAAGGGGGTCAGGTGAGACAAGGTGGGGAAAAGCAAAGCGCCCTGCACCCAGAGCTCATGCCCTTCCGCAGACAAGGCGGAGAGGACAATCGGGTGGTGTCAGCATTGTATGTTTTTAAAGTGTGACCAGAACACTAGCCACTTCTAAGATTACTCCGAATGCTCAGAATTACACAAAAATTACAGAAATAAAAAGCCTGAGAGTCACACCACTTACCACCCTGACATCACTGTCACTTCTTTTTTCTAAACTACTACAGACACCCAAAAGGAAAGAGTCAGAACGGCCCGTGCCAGTAGCGCGCCGACCGCTCCCGTGGACCTGGCCTGCTTCCGAAGAGCTGGCTCCCCGATCTCACATATGTGGGCTTGGGGGCTTGCGGTGGGACCTGGCTGCTTACCATCACCTTGCCCTCCCCAACGGGGTAGCTTTGGAGCCCGACATTGACTTCTTGTGGGTTCTTTTAAAAAAAGTTTCTACTTCAAATCTGAAAAACTATCAGTTTGGGAGTTGTCACAGGAGAGGTGGCCGCCTCCCCAGGGGACACCCTCCCTACTCAGCACTTCTGAGGATGAGGGCATCTCTGGCACCCAGGTGAGCGCTAGGCCGCGGGTGGTCTGTGGGAGTCCGGGGGAGCCCAAATAATGGGGCGTTTCCCATGCCCAGAAGACACCGCCCCAGCGAAGCCAGCCTCCGGACACCATCCCCTCCTCTGGGTGAGCACTGGGGACGTCACAAGAAAGAGTCCACCATCACAGTTGGTGGAGCAGGTGGAAAGCAAGGGGATGGAGGGAATGAATGAATGAGGTAACTAACACCCGGCGGCACCGGTCAGGAAGCTAAACTGGGAAGAGGAGCTCTGAGAAAGGAGAAGGAACGGGAGAACCGTGTGGAGAGAGGGGTGCGGGGGCACCCACACGGAAACGCTGATTTCATCAGTGTGCTCAGCAGTGTCCGGGCAGGCAGCACGCCCCTCTGGTCAGAGCATCACACCCAGAGCCTGAGCCTAAGAAAAGGACAAGGGCCTGTGGGCCTATACGGTGCATGTCGTTTCTAGAACTTGCCACTTGAAGAAGTGGGAGAGATTAGAAAGGGGAGCAAACAGCGATCCCCACTGGGACGATTAGGACCCCTTCTGTGCCTCTGCCCCGAAACCTTGTCTCTTCAGCCTCAGCCCGTTTAGTGTTTGCTCTTGCCCCTGCTCAGACACTGCCATCTGGGGAAAGAGGGTCATAACTTCTAGATTTGTAAAATGCTTGCTAAAAAACAACATCCACACTTAACAACTGCTTTTAAGCTGCCTGTTCTACACTGACACTGCCACCGTTTGGTCAGCAAAGCTGCCCGCGTCCGCTGCACTCCAAGATGGGTGTAAACCAGAGTGAACTCACATCTCCAGGCCCCGGGCCCAGGCTAGGTGCTGGCAACGAGGCTCCTGAATGGGAGCGGAAGTTCCCACGCCGGCCTGACTGCCACCTGCTCAATGAGCTGCTGGCTGAGGTTGTTTCTGGTGACAAAAGTAATCAGTGCATGCGGTTTTTAAAAAAATACATTTTCACCCTAAGGAAAATGTTGGAAATAGAAAGGAAGTTCTCTTAATATTCTAGACTTTTCTTGGGAAGTATCCCCTGTTACTGGTTTCTTGTATATCTTTTTAGAGTTGTTTAAGGCACACACAAGGATAACTATTACTTGGGGGACAGGAATCGCATCACCCATGTTCTGCAATTAATTTCTTTCCCACTCGGTCATGTGTCTGGAAGCTCATGTTAGGCAGTTGTCATAGACAGGATTCACTGTTACAGGGGCACAGACTATGTTACTTATTTGTTTGTGACAGGGACTCGCTATGTAGTCTAGGTTGGTCTTGAATTCACTATGCAGTCTAAGTTGGCCTCAAACTCGTGGCGATCCTCCTGCCTCAGCCTCTCAGGTGCTGGGATTACAGGCAGCACATGCTAAGTAATTTATTTACAGGCAGCAGCCGGCTAAGTAATTTATTTCATTGGTTCCCAGTGAGGAATATTTAAATTGTGCTCAAGTCTATTGCTGTTATCAACTAGCTTAGGTTTTTTTTACAAGTAGATCTAATTTGCTAACTAGGAGGTTTTGAAGGCAGTGATCCTAATCCTGCCTTATTGTACAAACTGATAAATTAAAACAAGCCAACTTTCCCCTCGGGAAAAAGACTGTTTCCCCTTCATGGCTAATCTGGACATCAGACACACAAACAGGGATGACCGCAGGATCCTCTCGGTGGTCCTCTGTCCTTCTGATCGGGCTGCCAAGCTAAGAGCTAGGCAGGCATCCTCTGTGCTTGGGGAGAGACCCTGCTGAGCTGGGAGAACTCAGGGGTATGGTCAGGCAGGAGGAAGCTGCTCTCTGCAGTGAGGGGCTCCAGAGAGCCCAGCCTCCTCTCATCGCGGCTCCATGGTCCATCGTCGTCCTCCTCGGCACTCCAGACACCCCCACCTGCGGCTTTACCTGTACTGCTGCACTGCAGCCCTCGGAACTCGGGGGCCACCGCAGGATCCCACAGCAAGCAGCTGGCATCGTGTTCTGGAGAATGCTCAGCCTTGACTGCTCCCGACGTGCAGACATCTCCAGAGAGCAGTGAATAGCACTCTTAAATCTTTCTAAATCATCAGCTCACAGTGCAAAGATACTCTAAACAAATTCTAAGTACTACATTGTTAAACATGTTATAAAGTAATCAAAACAAATGCTAAAATGGGTATACCCTCGGTTACCATTTTAAATATGACCAGAGACTGTGGGGAAACAGGTATCTTATATCTAACATTACCTAACATATAAAAATATGCAAAGCACAGTACCTCGTCCAGCTCCTGTGGATGTGTAGTTGCCATCAGGCCGTCCAGGTAGGGAGAGCAGGAAGGAAAGCATGTGCAGACAGACAAGGCACCATCAGGTGAGAAAACAGGTGTTAAGCAACTCTTAACTTGACTACAAACAAAGATCCACTAGCCAAGGCATTTACAAACCCCCCTTCTCATAATCCCTTTCATAAAAAAAAAGCTACATTAATATATATATTTTTATTTACTGTGGTGGTTGTTTTAGTAAATGAGGTAAGAAACAAGCAAAAAACAGTTGTAAAAATTAAAACACAATGGAAGCAAATAAAATACACTTGCTTTGGTTTCACTAAAATATACTGCTAATCTGTTTCATAAATATCAAATATCATATACAATACTCAACATTCTAAATTTCTTTCAAAAGAGAACAAGCTAAAATGTAATGTAACTATGTCAAATAAATGCATATTTAAACATGTAAGTCAGCCCTGCAAACGCAGCACAATTACAAAATTGTCCATGGCTGCACCGAGGTAATATCTGAGTGACCACGTATGCAAGGGCTCTTAAATTAGATCCCGCAGACACGGCTTTACCCACAGCAACAGAGCTGAAAAACCACTGTCTCCCGGAGAGACACAGGTGGGAAAATCAAAGAAAAACTCTTACATTTGCTTGGCATGTAATACTATTAGTCTAAAAGCACACCGTTATTTATAAAGCTATCATAAAAGCAAGCAAACCAGACAACAAAAGGTTAAGGAGAGACAAGGGGAAACACACCGAGGGTTAAGTTTCAAATGAAAAGTAAAGATTGTTTTTTAGATCAAGGTAGAGCTCTATTTTCTGAACAGACAGTTACTAATGACAGATAATTTAAACTAGGACCTTTTTTTTTTAACAGTATTGATCACGAAATAATTAGCAGTGAATTTCAATAATCAACTGTTTTTTATGTTTAGCCATAAATTTAGACCATAAGAAACATTAACTTTCTCATTTAAAAATTGGTGCAAATGAAGCTGGTCTATCAGGGCCAAAATATGATTGCACAATGATTAGCAATAAAATATAATCAAGACTGTCCGTGTAATACTTCAATTAGGTGATATTACAGGAAGCTAAAAACCCTCCTCACTCCTACAGCTGGTGAGAAAGAACTAGTCCTGCGATGGTGGGGCTAGGTTATCAGTGGGGAAGATGGGGTCAATGGCTCATCTCATTACCTTTTACTTTAAACAGGAAAAAATGTTTGTATTTTCTAAAAGCTTATTGTCTCCAGAAAGAGAGCCTGGACATCTTTTCTCAATAAAGCCAAATGCAAGATTAAAAAAAAAAAAAAAAAAAAAAACCTGTGCAAAGCGACAGCCTCTTCCCACTCTATAGAGGCTCCTGGCATTCAATCTCCCAGCAGACCTCGCCGCAGACCACCGTCAAAATCTCTGCGGCTCGAGCCTGGGCTGCTGGATTATAAACGGAGCACACGTACCCTGGTCTATGGATTTCTGCGATTACCAGTGATGAGAGGCAAAATTGGAGCCCTGAGATTCGAGGGCTAGAAGCAACTCTTGTTCTCACAAATAAGAAAACTAACCTTCAAAACATATACCTGCAGCCTTCAGGTCACACAGCCCGGTAACGGCTAACGCAGGGAGGGCCCCAGGTGTCTGGGCCTCCCTCCACCCTGCCCTAAAGCTCTCTAATTTTACTAACAATCCCGAGAATTACTTGCAATGGACAGCTCCCACGCCATCTCCGGAATTAAATTCAGGCCATCTTCCCAAAGAGCCCCAGGCCCCCTATTTGACTGCTCAAAACCACAAAGCTTCCAAAACTCCCCGTCCCAAATTACCAGTAAATTTAGTCAAATTTGGATTAAAATATTTAGAATTACCATCAGGAAAGACCAAAATACAGTGGAATGAAAATACATTACAATGCATCCTCACCTTCTAAATCTTTATAATGTTTAAATCTAGGTTTTTGACCTGCCAATGATACAAAATCAAGCAAACACTGAAAACTCCAAGTAGTATGTGGAATTTACAGTCTGAAGAACTTTCTACATAAAACTGAAAAATAAGTGGAAACCCATCTGTGTTTACTCCGGGAGTCTGGAAAAGTTGACCAAAATGAGTTGGAAATACAGGGCTATGCTATAGTGATATTTACTTTATTTCCATTACTGCCAAAATAAAAGTTTGCTTCACTCTTATCCAACAAAGTATCCTTATTCTCAAGCAACCCTCTCTGCTCAAATGGAATCTTTAAAAGCTGAAAAGCAAATAGATCTAAAGACAAATATACAATGATTTCATACTTGGATTCTAAAGACACAGAACTGATTTTCCAACAGACTCAGCCTGACCTAAAACTTGAAAACTTTTGATGTGCAAGTTAAAACAGTCCGTGGAGGGCTGTAAAGAAAGATAAAGATGCTCCTCTATTGCTAAAAAAAAAATAAAATGCATTTAAAAATTAAATCCTTCCATTTTCCAGGATCTGCAGCCCGGGTCCTGGGGAAGACCTGGCTGGAGTGGATGGAGCAGGCTGCCTTGGTTCAAGAGGGCCAGAGCTCCTTCCCTGACCCCCACTTGCAAAGGGCGTGATGCAGAGTTTCCAACTCCTCTACACCTGTTTCTCTGCCCCTACCTGATGGACTCAGAATGACGCGAGGGTTGACAGGGAAAGGGCTTCCACCAGTGCCCGACATATAGCAAGTGCTCAATAAATCTTAACTAATGATGCAGTCGAGACTGAAAGAGGCTCTTGGGTTTCTTATAATCATAGTTAATCCTTGATTTTTTTTTCCCTATTTCTTTCTCATAAAGAGCGTTTTATTAAAAAGAATGTGCTGGTTTCAAACTAATCTAAGACCAATTAACTCTAGCTTCCATTTATAGATTATGCATTATTTTAGAGCAGAGTATAGATTAGGCAATAAACACTAACAAAGTAGCTCCAGCCCCTGTATTAGAGTCATGCCAGATTTTAAAAAAACAAAGAAAAACATGAATGTACACAGCTTCTCATGAGATCAGAACAGTAACTCAAGTTCCTCTTTTCATCCATTCATGTAACACCTCACTCATTTTTACAAAATGATTATTTAACTTCATAAAGCCATGTCAGGTTCCTGAAGCCAAACTGTAAATGTTTGCATGAGGTGCTTGCTGCTGTAACGCGTACAGGTCGCTGACAAAATGTCAAAGTGACTTCTGCACAGTATCGGGGATACTGCTGAGGATTGCTGCTAGTAACACTGGGCTGACAGTCACAATACTGCGGTTGACTATGGATTTCTGCTTTTCAAAATTAAAGCTAAGGCTGTGTGCTTGGTCATGAGGGAGAATGTGTTAAAACCGAACTTGAGAAAACATTATCGAATTGATTGGGCCACTAAAAATCACCTAGGTCAAACTCAATTTAGAAATGAGGGGAAAGATGTCTCAAAAGATTAAATGCACAGCAGTCAGGCTCACCCCAAATGCCCAGACCCATTGCCTAATACACTTTCCTTTATTTCACGCTGCTGCCCTGAGGCATAAACCTACCGGGCATCAAACCTGAAGCCAAAACAGAACTGTCTGAGAATTACAGAATAGCCCATAAATGCATTTTGCTTAGAGGCTAAAACCAAAGCCCAGTCTTTCAGTAATTAATTTTACTTATATTAACACAAAAAACCATAAAGAAGGAGAATTTTGCTCAGTTCTGAGCACTGAACTTGAAAAAAATATACAGAAAAAACTAAACATCATTCATAGGAAAGAAACTTAACCATGCGTCTGAGCCGGGATTTCTAACCCTAGAAAAGACTCCAGCAACAAGAAGGCTTGCAGAACCAGGGTGCAGGAGGAAGAGGTTTCCTGTACTGCAGACCCTAGCGGAGGGATAGAACTGGAATGAGGACCACAAGCCCGAGACACAAATGTAATTGGGGTCACACAGGAAAAGACATTTTAGCAGTGAAGAGCTGGCGTGACTGGCTCCTGCAAATTCCCAGCGCTGCCACAGAACGCAGCTAAGCACGGCAGGTGCACAGGGTCCTCACGACTGGGGACGTAGAGCGGACCTGTAGGCCCCTCTGCCCCGGGGGCTGTGTGTTTGCTAACGCACATCTTCCACAAATTACTCATTATTGGTAACATCTTTGCCTGAACGCTGCCTAAGTCCTGGAGCGGCCGCGGCCGGGCGCAGGTACCTTCAATAACCCTCATCATCAATAATCTTCTAGCTTTTTCCATAAAACCAGTATTCAAAAATCGCTAAATGTAATTTTTTTTTAATGAAAAGCTTTCTTTGGGTGTGCGTCCTTTTGAGGTCCGTGAGATATTCATTCACATGACACTCTGCAGTTTTTCAAGGACATGAAATTCACATTAAAAAAAAAAAATCTACTGTTAACAGGCGATTTACTTCTCATTGCTCATGAGAAAACAAATATCCAAAATCAACTTCTGCAGTATTTTAATTAGGAATTTGTGAGTTTTAAAAATTATGCCCAGGTTTAGTTACTTCCTTTTTAAAATCATCTCAGGTAACAGATACCTGTTTGTAAAGTGTCTCTTTCTAATAGCTGTACTTTATACTATGACGAGTGTATTTCTTTTATGTTCCTATTTATAATTTTTCAAACATACAGAGAAGTAGGTAAAGTGGTAAAATGTCTTCCTACATATTCATCACTAGACCTGAGAATTGATAACATTTTGCCTTTGGGGGGGCATTATGTACTCAGGGAACAGGGATCTTGACATTTCACCACTAAACATTGCAGTAGTCCTCCCTAATGAAATCACAAATTTAATTAATTACTAGTTTAATTAATTCCTTAATAACATCTAATATGTAGACCATGTTCAAAATTTACAGATATAGTTTTGATTTTCTACATGGCTTTACAATTTAAAGTCAGAAATGTAGTTTTTAAATTTTGGATGAGCTAAATCTG